AAATTACGAAAGCTTGATCGGTGAAATGAACTTTCGTCTTGGTGTATCACGTACGTGGACATGTCGAAAGAGCGTGTTTTTTCTTTGCCAAAATTTGCGAATTTCACCAAAAACTTGCGATGAAGGACGTTAGTCGCTTCTTTTGCAATATGGGAATTGAAGGATGGAAGATAGCAGGGTGGCAAGAAAGTCAGAACAATATTTATATTTTATAACCTCAAAATTAGTATGTGTAATCAAATGGTGACGAGTGAAATTAATAATTTCCCTCGCCTTAAGGCTCGGGAAATTATTAGGATTTGGACAAAACGCGCGACATTATTCCCTAATTTCACGAGTATACCATATGATTACCTATTAATATCATAGGTGACGAATTACGTTAGCAATCTTGGATTTTTGACATGTTTATCCTGGATCGTATCGATCGAGAACTCATGAGAACTCCACTCTCTCAAATGTTTAGACGTTAAATTTGGCTTATAAAGTTCAGAATTTCTCAGACTTTTTCAGCAAAGTACCTGTTAGAATCCTTCTTGATGTTCTCTTGTGTGTTCAGGTTTTCTAAAGCGTCTTTTTGGGCCTTGACATCTTCATTCACAGCATTTTAAAACTTCCTCGCCATCTTGACACTGAGACGTACGGATGGTTGCCATGGCAATTTTGTAATTTCACATGTGAAATTACAACTTAACGCTGAAATTTCGCGCCAAAATTAAGGAGTAATCCGTCACTTATGATATTATTATTATAATAGTGTTAGCCTGGACTTTGGGCCCGTTTTGACAAGCTAGAAATGCATCACTTATCATCTGCAGAATCAGAACTTGAGAAGTGGGGTTGGGGGAGGGGGGGGCGCTCATTCATACCATGTGAGTGTAGGAGGGGTGGTCCTCGGCCCGTGAGGAACGAGGGGATATGGGCCCCCCTCTAGATCCATTAACCTAGAACCTTTGTTCGCCACTGCTTAACCATGTATGAAAGGTAGAGTTACATAATTTCATATTGCTTAGTACTTAGCTGCACTTTCATCTGAACATATCAATGCCAATGTACGCCAAAGGTGTTAATACCACCGCCATGGCTTGCAATGTTCACTTACCCCATGAAATACTAGTGTATCCGCCAAAAATGTATCTCCCGACCCTTATTATTGTCACAGTCGGACCCTTGCCATCACATCGAGAGTGAAATGTACTCGCAGCCCAGCCGTCCACGGATGCACGCCAACAGCGTTTCCAGAGAGAACTGACGCTCTTTGTGACAGGTGCAAGCCAGTTCCTTAACGAGGTTAAGTGATTTTTGTTGTTTCCCACAATAACAGAATCGTGTAAACCTAGGAAAAAATTCGACTTTTACTACTTGACAAAAGAACCCTCACAGTTGGAGCCAAATAGAACAGTTTAAAAATTCGGCAGCAAATGAATTCTTCATCAAGTCAGAGTCGTAGCTAGCGGGGGGGCAAGGCCCCCACCCCCGGAGCTGTTGAGCCAGACACATCAAGCCTGTGGATGGATTTGTTTTCTTTAGACTCAGTTATTTTGATTATAGTGACTGACAATTGTTTGCCATTTTCATGATTCGAGGTTGATTTTTCGGAGACACATCTTATGAAAAGTGCTGAAAATAGCGTTTCGGAGCCTCCAAATTTGAAAATTTGCTTGGGGAGGATACCCTCAGACCCCCTAAAAGGCTCGTGGTTTCGGCACTCGCGATAATTCCCCCCGGGTTACAAAAACCTAGCTACGGACCTACAAGTGTAACATTGCAAGTGACTAGAGGTTTGATAACAAAAGTCACTTAATTATTTTGTGGAGAGCAAATTTTTAGGTTTTATACTTAGACGCGAGTATAGGCTGCCTACCTTTTTTCCCTTTAAACAATTGCAGCACAAGCATATTCAGCCTTTAACAACAACACTGCTTTTTAACATTAAATAAAAGGCCATCTCACTGTAGTCTGAGTCAGCTAAGCCTATTATAGTAGTCTTAAACAGGATTCAGGAACCCTTGGTCTAGCGATCTCTGTGACCTGTAACAAAGGTCACCAGGCGCCATTTGGGGACAAAACGTGGATAGCGCTATCCAGCGGATAAATCTCTATTCAGTGGATAGTGCAATTGGTTTCCCTAATACTTATCCACTGAATAGTGATTTATCCGATGGATAGCGCTATCCAACATTTCAACAACTGGGGCCTGATGTTTATGTTACTAAATGTTTAATTTATGTCTGTGCGGACCTTGCATCCTAAGACAAACCTGCAGCTGAGCTACGCTGCACTGCCACGTTGACCCTAGTTTTCTTTGTTCCCATGATGTTAGTAGCTACACAGTCGTATAAACCGGTGTCGGCAGGAATCAAGTTGTTAATGGTGAGTGTGCCTTGGTTTATTTTCGTTTTTCCAGCAGGTAAAGGCATTGCTGCTCTAGTCCAGGTTACTACGGGACGAGGATAGCCTTCAGCTTTACACGTTACTTGGAATGTAGTGCCTTGTACCGGTGCAGCAAGTAAAGGCGGAACTTTTGTGAATATTGGAAGACCTAAAAAAAAAAAATTATCAGGTTTACATACTAAAACTTCTTGGAGGTCCAACACCCGAGGTCCAACACCATATGTAATTTTTATCAGAAAAGGTGCCTCTTTCACACGCGTAGTTTAGAACTTTGCATGAAGGGAGATCAACGAACTGTCTTTAAAATATGAATAAATCACAAAAGTAGAAAAATTTCTCGAAAATTTCACATCCATAAAACCCTTCCGCTTGCCCTTTTAGATCCTCTTGCAGACCAAAATGATAGATTTCCCTACACTATTATGTACTTCAACTAGTAAAACACCGACCCTTTCATATACCTGAAGCCTCAAAATAGTTCTCCTTTCGGAAGGATTACAAGTGAGAAAAATGACAAATTAGGTGTTTTCTTTTCCGGGAAACTTTGTTCAAGAAATGTTCATTTGCATAACAGAAAAAAAGGAGCGGTGAAACCAATTAGTTATTAGCTGGCAAATCTGTTGAAGGGTTTTTTTCAAGAAGTCGTAGTCTGACGGCTACTAAGGCCTTAACCGAATTCTGAAAGCGTGTCAAAATAAAGGTCAGGCGAGGATAATGTTCTGTCAGTGTGTCTTCACATTGTATAGTTTTCTAGAGATGTTTATGCGCCGTTTAATTCTCACAACCTTAATACCTTGCAAGAACATGTAACATATCATACTGATATAACAAACAAAATTTGACGGCCTGTTATACAACAAACCTGAAGAATGAAATGCTTCTCTCACCTCGAACAGACAAGTTACCAGTAGCCTCGGACGATCCAAGAATGTTCCTAGCAGCACATGTGTACGACCCAGCATCGCGGTAATTCAGATTTCTGACAATCAACTCTCCTTCTTTAATCAGATACTTCGCACCGGACAGAAGCTTTATGCCCTTAAATTGCCATTCCACGACTGGGAAAGGATTTCCGGCGACCGTGCAGTAAAATGCTGTATTTCCTCCCTCATCTCGTGTCTGCTCTGCTGGCGTCAGCCACACTTGTGGAGCAGATAGCGATTTTCCAGGCCTTCCAGGTGGTCCCGGCATGCCTTTTGGCCCAGGTTCTCCTTTATCTCCCTTTTCTCCTCTCGGTCCAGCAGGACCAGTTATTCCTGTTTTTCCGGATTTTCCAGGAGGTCCCATGGGACCTTGAGGACCTTTCTTTCCCTTTGGTCCCCTCCTGCCACGTGGTCCCCTCGCTCCAATGGGACCAGGATATCCGGGGGGTCCTGCAGGACAGACTTTCTCAGTTGACTTACAGTACTTTGTGGGCATAAGTTGTTCAAACTGTTTGCTGATTTCTTTTCTTACTTCATGTATGGTGATGCCGGTTGAAGTGTCGTTCAAAACGTTTCTTCGCTTCCTTAAGCGGATGGTTGCTGATGCCTCTAATGATAACGGGCTGACTGCAGTAAAGTAATATCCCATGATTATATTAAAAATAAATAAGGGAGAAAATATGACGAACAAATCAAAGGAAGGAATGATAAGGTTGATATTTCTATCATAAAATTAACAACATTTATGGAGTTGCGTTCAACAACAAGGTTAACAACTTTTCAATTTGTCCTCACGCCTCTACCCTTGTTGCTTCTAAGGGAAAGCCAAGCTGACATTCTAGATTTCTAGATCTACGCACACATTTCAATCCCGGGGGGAAGGGTACTTGGGTAAATTTTTGCTGGGTATGTGACGCTGGCGTCTAAGAGCCCCTACCCCATTATAGTCTATTCTGTGACCAATTATAGACCCTATCTTGGTCACTTTTAGACAAATATGTAATTTTGGCGATCCCAGCTTAGTCACTTTTTATTTTTAATGAATTGAGCCATTTTTTAAACTGTATGAAGAACACTTTACTTTTCACCTACAGTACAAGCATTCTGGTACGTTTGCTAACCGTAAATAAGAAGAACTGTCTTACCACAAAAAATCGGAAAATGTGCGACCCCATTCTATTGAAAATGCGACCCCATTGTAGTCAATAAGTGCCCCCCCCCCCCCCGGGTTTCAAACCGACTGAGACCGTTCAATAAACGTACTTTCAATCTTGCCACCCTATCAAAGTTACCAAAGGCTTTATCAAGTAACCCGGCAAGCCCTAAGACTCCTTAACTGAACTCCTCTAGGGGCTAACCTTTCAAAAATATCTCAAATTTTACGCCACCCTAACAATTTTATCCAGACAGTGCTATTTCAGACCAATTTTCCCCACCCGTTCTCAGACCATGCAGACCTCAGTGTATACCTGTTTTCAGACCTGGCCTTTAGAAAGAAACTGTGTCATCATTACTTAGATTAGAGCGCAAACAAAAAAATTCTTCAAATGCATTTCGAATTCACATATTTCTATTTCGTTCTTATTCATGTGGAACTGAAACGATAACTACATTCATGCATACGCTCCAGTAGGTTCCTCGAAAACCAAACCTAATTCCAGGCCAAAATGGTCTACGTTTATAACCGTTTTCAGACCAAAAAGAGCCAAGAACTACACACCCTTTGTGTGCTCCTGTTATATGGCTTATATAAAGGAGTACCCCCCCTCCTTGGGTATTGAACACATATCTTGTACGTGAGCAAGTCGATCGACACTACTCAAAATCGATCATTTACACCGTTTATACCACTACATGAGAAATTTCTGCAATTTGATTGGCCTAGAGCAGTGGTATTTCAGCTTAATTTGAAATACCCTACATGTGAAAATTACAAACCTTTTGCGGGCAGTGGTATAAACAAATAATAGCACGATTTGTACGTGATATTTGGCATAAATACCGCTCGTGATATTTCAAAATTGTCTCAAATTTCAAATTACGTATAACAATTTCGAAATATCACTCGTGGTATTTATGCCAAATATCACTACAAATCATGCTATTACCTATACAAATTTCTTTATTGTTTTACCAGTATAGGTGGCTTAGTGAATTTTTAACCTCATCTAACACTGTATAAACCCTTTTGCAACACTCTCGCTCTGTTGTAATACTGCTTAGATGATCCCGTATGTAAGCGCAAACTCACACCATGAAAGATTATATGCCTAAATCAAAAGAGGATAAACTCAGTTCTAAACAAGTATCTGCATCTAAATAACATCTGAAGTGAAGATCTTACCTGATATATAACCGATCCTTTCGGATACATGTGTCTGAACCTTCTTTAAAAAGATCTCTTGCTGTACCTTTTGTTGGTGAAAGAGATATCCTGTCAGTATTTTCAGTCGAGTCACTCTGAACGCAAGGGAAAAGGTTAACGCGAGATTCAAGCGCGATCAGTAGTTCGTTTGTTGTTTCATTCTTCATCCAGAGACATCCGCAAACGAAAACTAATACAACAGAAAGAAACGATGGCCTTATTGACGGAACAAAATCAAGGAGACGACGAGATTCTGCCGGGGAGTTCGAGGATTTCATTTCTGCAGCTTGCCAATCGTCCCATGCACGGAAGGTGGAGGTGAGTGGGAAACGTGCCAGTAAATTTGATCCTTAAAAATTTCGCCCAAAGAAGCATGCCATTAAGGTTCACGTAAAAAAAAAAAACACAAAACAAAACAAGTCTTAATAGGGCAGCTGAAAGGGACGGCAAGGGGCCACGTGGGGACCATGAAAACCTTAATGGGGGAGGTGGGAGGGAAAACTAAATGAATAAAATTAGTGCACTCCAAGTAACGCCAAAAAAATATTCATGCTTTGGCCCAAGATAATTAATACAAAGAAAATGCTAACGAAAAAAAAATTCATGCGACTTTCCTATTGGTCTGTCTCTAATTAACTTTCTTCTTCCTCACGCCTCGTAACAATATCATTTTCATTAGAGTGATTTCTCTTGCATATTGCGTGAACTGGACCATGGGAGATTATGTTCGCTGGCAAACATACTTTATTGAATAGTGGAAACATTCCCTTGCAAACTGGGATTACTTAATTATTTAGCGGCAATATATGCACTTCATACGTTACAGAACGCCTATCCCGCGGATTTGGTACCACTATGGCCCCTCCCCTCTCCCCACCCTGGTCAAATTTGTTTATTCGGGATGAAATGAAATGATCCAGCCGGGCTTCAACATTGTTTTTTTTTGGGGGGGGAGATTGAGTATCTGTAGTTGCCAGTGCTTTCAAGCTTTATCTTGAAACTAGACGCAGTATCGTCCATTTTTCTCAACACCTTTTTCAAGATTGTAGATGTGTTAGTACTGAGCCAGTTATACAACTATTTTGATTAAGATTCTAGTTGAACGTCACTATGTTTATCTTGTGTAGTTAAGGTTAAGGGCGACAGACTTAGCCAGCCCTCTCTGAGTGCCACACAACGCATATGCGGGTTAAGTAACTCGTTGTCCATTTTTGTTATATTTACAATGACAGCTGCTTGACACGGTCTTTTACTAGCGCATGTTGTTTGTTAGCAGTGTCTTAGACTTAAATGAGTCTTTTTTGTATTGTTTATACATGTGACTTAAAGTTCTCAAGTAGCGCACCTTACTTTGTTACATTACAAGTGTTTGAAATCGGGACAGACTGAGCGGACCAACCCCTGGGTTGGTATTTCAACGCATATGCGGGCGTACTGAATTGAGCTCTTGGGCAAGAAAATAACTCATTGCCCTTTTTTGGTTTTATTTCCAATGACATCTGACATCAGTTCATGAAACAGTTTTTTTTACTAACGCGTGCTGTCCGTTAATCGAATCTTGACGTGTGCTTAAAGCGCTCGATAACGTTCTCGCCCTTGCACAATAGCGGCTGAACCTTTCGGTAGGTGACGGGTTTAACTCATACACATAGTAACCTTGACACTCTCTAACGCGTATCTGAACTGTCCAGTAACAACAGTTTAATAATCCGTCGAAACAATCTTCCCTCCTCACGATACTATCTTCAAAGGTGGAATGCTCGCCATTCAGCCACCCAGTCAGATCAGAGCTGCATTTGCGAACGGGGATACAATTGTCTACCATTCTTGAATATGAAATTGACTGGAAGCGGTACCAGCCGGGGACGAGTCTGTTGTCTGAGTTACTACCATAACCAAAGGACTGCTGTCGATTAGGTTCAGTAAGAACCGTATAGTCTCGGCACTGTGGTGCATCTGAATTAAAAAACGGCAAGTGATGAGAAAACTATGGGCCAAAATTGAATGTCTAATTGAGTTCTGCTATATTTTCTACTGCTAGCTACCGGGGGGGGTGGGGGGTACTACTCCCATACATTAGTGTATGTGCCGCCCAACGGGGTCGTGATTTTGAAGCTCCTGGTTTAGAACGAGGTATCAATTTCAGAGGCGTTTTCTAGAGCGGTGTATAATATTTCGAACGCACGAAATCTCCAGTTTTGTTAGCAGCCATTTGAAATTATTCAAGGACAGATTGCTTTTAAAAATACGGTTCAATGCATTAACAAGCAAACTGTTGTACTCTTGTGGCACCCTGTGTTTTAGCGTGCAGGGCGGGCGTATTTTGGCGCGAGCCACGAGCGCTGATTCCGCCATCTTGGATAAATAGGCGCGGGGAAGTCTGGAACGAGTCCATAATGTACCCAAGGGAGATGGAGACGGACTCAAAAGAAAGGGACGGGGGAGGAGAAGGAAAATCGTTAGCTTACGAGCGTGGTTCTGTGCGTGGTGAAAGATTTTGCGTCATAATTAACCACATTGTATCCACACGCACAGGAAATGTACTCCGGATGATTATGAAGAAGCATTTATTTGATGTATAAGTCAAATAATAAAGAAATATCTTAAAGAAAAAAAAAACAGGGCTATTTCAATTTACAAACTTTCTAGAACGGAGTATAAAAAATTGGCCCATTTCTAGAACGGGGTATCAGTTTTAGGGCGAATTCTAGAAAGGGGTATAAAAAAAATTGGCCCATTTCTAGCACGAGCTATCAATTTTAGGGAAAATATTTTTTAGAACGGGGAGCCAATTTGGAGTCCCGGGAGGCACATATCCACCCAAAAAATACCCAAGTGATGCAATGATTTTGAGATTATATTCTTTTTTCCTTTAAAGTATTTTAAATATTTTTACTTGATCACCTCCTTTCAATTAATGCTGCATGAGTAGGCTATCTTTAACTTGTAAATGAAAGTTCTTATTAGAGACTTGTGTTCTCTTCTTGCTTATTCAGGTGCCTCGGTTTTTTACTTGGCTGTTAATGATTGTTAGCTCCTGATTATGCAAGGTGCACAGCTGTGTCAGCATAACTGCACGATTCCAACCAAGAACCTGAAAACGCGAGAATATCTAGGAAGAGGCGCCAGTCTTTTATCGGATGTTCGCCTCAAAATGCCAATTTTTTATGCTCTAACCAAAAAGAAAAAGAGAAAACTAAATTAAAACCAATAAATAAACAAATACCAAAACAAAAATTGCAAAAAAACCCAAATTGCACTCCGCTTCAATAGTAACTAAGTTT